CCCCTGCCCCTCCTGCCCGCGGCGCCCGGCCCCGGCACGTTGCCAGCGCGCTGTAAAGACAGTCGTGCGAACAACGTGTTACAGACAGACAAACCACCCCCTCCAGGCTGGAAATTGGGGTTAAACTAAGCAAATTTAGGTCTTTTTTTGGGTGTTTTTTAGATACTTACTGAAGAGCTTCTCGGAAGAACTGGTAAGCGCCGTGGTTGTGTTTAAACACCGTCAGCATCACCTTCTTCATCTGAGTGCTGGATAAAGGAAAGAGATATTAAAAAATGAATGAAGAGTACCCAAAATCACTTGTTTTTCACCCAAAATAAGCCATCAGTTATCACCTGTTGGCTACCAGCTGAAGGATCTGTAGGAGAAACTTGCCAAGTCCTCGCCGCCGGACTCTGCTTTCCAGCTGCACCTCGTAGCTATGGGGATAACAAACACCCCACATCATCAGTGTGATAAAAACATCAAAAAACCCCAATTTTAGGGTTTTTTAGCCCATTTTTTCTACAGACTGGTGCTCACCAGTAAAGAACTTCATCCCCACACTCGACGTCGAAGCGGAAGTGGGAGAAGGCGACGGGGCCGGCGCCGGGTTCGCGGGCGATGAGGTACCAGGCTCGGTCATCCCAAAGCTCCTCTCGCTTCTCTCTTTCCTTCCAACCCCACTCACTCTGCTCGTACCTGCTCCATTTTGGGGTAAAAAACACAGATTTTGGGGTAAAACATCAGAATGATTCAAAAGGGGAAAGAAATTAATCCCGGCGGTGATTGAAAGGGCAAAAAAAACCCCCCAAATCGGAGGGATTTAAAGGGTTAAAAGCAGCGAATTTAAAGGTGGGGGTTTGGGTTAAAAACATCGAATTTAGAGGTGGGGGTTTGGGTTAAAAACATTGAATTTAAATACCAGGCTCGGTCATCCCAAAGCTCCTCTCGCTTCTCTCTTTCCTTCCAACCCCACTCACTCTGCTCGTACCTGCTCCATTTTGGGGTAAAAAACACAGATTTTGGGGTAAAACATCAGAATGATTCAAAAGGGGAAAGAAATTAATCCCGGCGGTGATTGAAAGGGCAAAAAAAACCCCCCAAATCGGAGGGATTTAAAGGGTTAAAAGCAGCGAATTTAAAGGTGGGGGTTTGGGTTAAAAACATCGAATTTAAAGATTTAAAGGAGGAAAAAACCAGCACTAATTTTTTGGGGAAAAAACTCACCATGATTTTGGGGTAAAAATCAACAATTTTGGAGCAAATTCCCTGCTCAAACCATTTAAGGGTGTAAAAAAAACTCACTCAGTGATCTTGGGGCAAAAACCATCTCAAAACCTAGTAATTTTGGGGCAAAAAAACCCCACCAGAAAGAGTAATTTTGGGGTGAAAAAAAT